CTCTCCTTTGTCCATGCTGCAATTTCTCATGTTCCCCACAGATTCCTACCCTTCACCCAGATTTCCACGTTTTGGACTTATCTGTGGGCATTTGTCTCCTGCCCCATCAAACCTAGTTTAAAGCCCACCTCACTGGGTTAGCCAGTCTGAATCTTAAGATACTCTTCCCCATCCTTGAAAGGTGGACCCCATCTCTACTTGGAACAGGATCCCATGGTTCAAGGAAGACAAAGCCCTATTGGCAACAATATCTGTGCAGCCATACATTCACCTCCAGAATATGTCTCTCTCTGCCGGGACCCCTACTCTTGACTGGAAGGATCAAAGAGAACACCACCTGTGCCCCCACTCTTTCACCCTTACTCCAAGAATCCTATAGTGACTTCTGATCTGTTCGGCGTCATATCTTTCAGTATCAGTATTGCCCACTTGAGTGAGCAGCAGGGGGTAATAGTGTGAGGGCCAGATGATCCTCAGCAATCTTTCCATAACATCTCAGATATGGGCCCCTGGCAGGCACCACATCTCCTGGGATGCCAGCTCAGGCCCTCTGCCCTCTTTAGAAGGGAGTCATCAACCACCACTACCCTGCATTTTCTCTTGAGTGTGGTGGCCACAAGCTTCCCAACCTTGGGTGTACATAGTGGATATCTCCATAATACAGGAAAAGCAGCACAGTCTAGCACTCCAGCATGCTCTGTTCAGCCACCTTTCCTCCCAAGTGGCAGCCTCATCCTCTTTGCTCCTTTCCCAGACAATCTGGCCACCTCCCTGTCTGAGAAGCAGGTCTGAGTTTCTGTGCCTGCTATCATTCAGCCCATTCTCTGCCTACTTTGTAGCCCTTTTCCAGTGGCCAGATAATCTGACTCTTTTACTTGCCCAGATAGCACCTCTACTTGTCCCTTGGTTATGAGCTATAGGATTTTTTCACAACCTGTTTACACTTTCTTCCAGCTCCATAGTGTGTAAATTACATCAACATAACCATAGGCTAAGGAAGACTAACAGGGTTGTTAGGAGTCTAACTTAAATTTGGGCCATCATATCTAAGCTTTCCAGTGTGATGATTCAATTAATGCTGAATTAACCTAAACCTCAAGTACTAAAATATACAAATGAATTCGTAACATCTAATTATTGATTATATACATATTGATTCTTAAAGTATACTAGATAATTATGCAAAAAATATACAAATGCAATTGAGTGAAAATTAATCAGGAAAATATATAGCTTCATCAATGGTTTGCAAATTCCAAGGCTATGCAACTTAAAAAGCACATTCAAATACAAACCAAATGAATAACATTTCCAATACAGAATATTTTCAGACCAATATTTACCACTGATATATGCTTCTCAGTTCACTTATTTTAAATAACCTCTGTCTGGTTGGGAGAAATCAATGATATTTTTCTTTTCTTTGCAACATATGTTGCCTTCTATCTGGGCTTCTATCCCTGTTTAAATGTTTGCTATCCCAACAGAAAAAGGATTTCCTCTAAAAATATTTCTTGGGTAAATTAGAATAAAGAGAACTTGCAACAAAATCAAACCCTCCATGTGTAGGAACTTACATTGTCCAGGACTTGATTAATAGGCATATTCATATTATTTTTGCAAATCAGTTGTTAAATAAATAGCTTCAGTTCTCTCTAATTTATTGTGTATATATGACAGTGAGAGACACATATACACTGATGTGGCTGGATATAAACATTTCATGTTCAGTATTAGCACATTTTAAAACCAAGTTTTCTATATATACCAAGGGATCTGAAAATACACTAGGAGGCAACCATGCATGACTTTAATTAATTTCACATATACTCAAGCCAAGGGGGATTTTGAGTGGGTGTATAATGGCAGGCCCCAACTTTGCATCAATTAGGTCATTCTGTGCCTGCTTGGGATACTGAAATTCAAGTAGTCAGAAGTAAAATGCACAAAGACAAGAGTTAATGTTATACGTTTAAGTCATTTTCAAGATTACATTATGAATCAAAATGTCTTCAGTAAGAAATTACATTTTATTACACACATATATATATATATATATAGAAAGAGAAAGAGAGTCAGAGAGATTACCTGGGGTTAAAAGAATGACAGACATAGTGATGAGTGAACATACAACTAGAATCACCAGCAGTGCAATTGCAATTCCCTTCCAATTCCTCTGCGGAGGGCTGTTACTTCCAAGCTCCTACAGAGATTAAAAAAAAATGTTTCATAATTACATATAATCCCAGAAAAATGTATTAATACAAGAAATGATTCTGCAGATTGTTATAATCACACTATATGTGAGCTGATTATCATCCTTCTCCTCTCTGTAGTTCATTTAATTATTCAAAAAGTACGTAATTCCTAGATCTTTTTAATAGAGATGTCTTTTTTAAACAATTTTATTTCCCTAAGAGACAATCAAATTGAGCTTATACAAGCTGTCCAAAATATGACTGGTGTTAATGTGTGCTGAACATAAACTTCAGGACAATATCAACTGGCACTTTTACAAGATAATTACAGAAATAAAATGTGGCAATTTACTGTAATTCTACCTAAAGTGGTATGAACCATAAAGGTTTAAATACACAAGCTTTTAATGTATAATGTTAAACTTCTTATTTGTAATGAAAAACATTTACAAAACTGCCAAAGGCTCAAAGTATTCCTTCTTAAACTGAACAGCATTTCTTCCTCTATACAGTAGTTCATCTGCAAACTGCTCTCCTATCACTCATAAAAATCAACAGTAATTTGTAACAATATTAAATGAATGCTTCTGTAACTACTGCTCCATGTAAGCATATATTCTCCTTTGGTTACACGTGTAGCTCCTGTTAACATTAGCCAAATGGGACTTTAAGTTTGTCAACAGAAATAATGCATAGTTTTTATTTTGTCTAGGATTTCATACTGCACCATCGCAGTATAGAATAGAAAAATACATCAAGGTGGTACATGGTTGGTATTGCTCTCTCCTCTCTCCCTCCCCCACATGAAACAGCACTTTCTCCATCTGCATCTGGCAAGACAAGTTCCAACTTTTTCTCTCTGATATTGACCTTAACACAATTATCCAGGCCTTTGTCACCTCAAGATTAGATTGCTATCATACATTCTATGAGGGATTACATTTTGTGAGTATTTAGAAGTTGAAGCAAGTGCAGAATGCTGTGATCTATTTACTGAGTTGCACCTTGGGAGCACATTAAACTGGTGCACCATAATATTCATTGGCTTTCAATAAGCTCCTGAGTAGAACTTGAGGTGTCAGTTTTAAATTATAAATGCCTTAAATGGTTTGGGACCTGGACACCTGAGAGATTGTCTTTCTCCGTGACATATGGTCATAGACGAGATCAGCAGAGCCACCTGAGATGGAGTATTCATGGAATAAATGAGAGGAAGTTGCTGACATAGTGAGGGGTCCTTGGTTTTAGAATTTGCTCTCCCTGACCCACCAGTGCCCAGATTTGTTAAACTTCTGGCCATGTTGCAAAGCCATCTTTTCTCTCTCTTTTTCTCAGGCTACTAAGGAGGGAGCAGGCTGAGGGATGAGCATGGTTCTGTTCATGGATAGTCTTTTAGCATTCTTTTGTTTTTTTAGCCAATAGGGTAGTCACGCAGAGCAAAGAAAGGGTGCAGCCCGCTGTAATTTGTAACTTCAAATAAATACTAATACTTTTTTTTGCACATGCAGAAGATTGTTTCTGAACAAGTTTGCAAACATCTGAGGCAAGAAAGATGTTGCGACAACCCACATTCTTTGATACAAACAAACCACATGGGCCTCATGGGATCTTAGAAGGGTCTTTCAGCACCAAAACCAGAAGCCTTTACTGCCCAAGCCAAAGGAGAACTCCCTTACGGTGAGACAGTAAATAATATGTTGGATACTTAATAAGAGAAGTCACTCAAAGGAGTCACACTCTCTCTTTCCCTCATACTCATACAAGGGCAGTCTATTTCATACTTTCCCAAGTCAGACAAGCCCATCCCAAATGTCTGAGGTCCATAAGAGTCCTAACCCAACGCTTTTGACTTGTGTGTTACATGTATACATCAGACATGATCCAACATAGTGCACATGGCTGGCTGTGAGCATATTTATAGGTAATGCAAGGCAAATCACTCTCTCCCTGTCCTATAACAATTAATACAGCATACTCCTTGAACCAATCTTCACAATTTTTGCCTTTTATTTTTTTGTAATTTCCTTTCCACAGTTTAGCACCTGAGAAAATTTAAAGACCTCTTCTTGCCCAGATCCTGCCTTATGAAAGAAGTCAGTTTAAATGCTCCAGTTTAGCACATGTGCCTTGAACAACTGTGAAACACTGCACAAGGGCACAGTGAGGAAAGCAGTAGGCAAGCAGTCACTTTTATGCTATTAGTGTAAATATTTGGACTAGATCTTACTCTCACTTCATGAGTACAACCCCACTTAATTCAAACCAAGTTGCATACACGTTAAATGAGATGGGAATTTGACCTCAGGGCTTTCAGTTTCTGACATTTCACCAACAATTAATGTTCAGTCCAGAACAGATGGACAAGCACAATTCCCCTATGTGGTAGCAAGGACTGCTAATCCCACTTTTTGCATTGTTGTACACAGTTTAACCCCTTCATAGGTGCTAATATGTAGGTGCCATTTTGTTATGTTTACTGCATACAGATCACACTTCATGCCCCACAAAAACATTAATATATATGGCTCTGTGAGTCCAATATTGGTGGACAGAATTCTGAAGACTGAATTCCTGTATAACAAACCATTTTTCTCCACTTTCACCAATAGACATAAGCCATTTAAAATTTGGAGAAACACATAATTATCTTCACACTTAAACTAATAGAAAGGACTAGGAGAGACAGAGTTGTACTGAGGAAACATGATATCGAATCACAACGCCTTAAAAGGTTAACTATCATTGCCTCACCGCCAAACGGTGGCAGATTTTCGGAGTCTTGCACCTCAGTTTTCCTGATCGCAGCAGAAATCAGTGACAGAAATCAGGATACAAATGTACTAGACTCCAGATTTTTAAAGCATGGCTGGGAACAAAGAGCACGAAAGCAATCCACTCTTGGAGAATCCTTAGGCCCAGCACCTCCGCTCTGGGTCAAGAGGCGACTCAGCTTTTTCCAGGGACCAACCTAGACCCACAAGCCAAAATTACCTACAGCTTTTTTTCTTCAGCTTCTTCTGACTCACTGCAACTGGTTAAACACGTATCGAAGCTGCTCCTGGCCCCTGCTGTAGGTGCATGGCTTACTAGGAAAGTCTAGATCAGGGGTCGGCAACCTTTCAGAAGTGGTGTGCCGAGTCTTCATTTAGTCACTCTAATTTGAGGTTTCGCGTGCCAGTCATACATTTTAACGTTTTTAGGTCTCTTTCTATAAGTCTATAATATATAACTAAACTATTGTTGTATGTAAAGTAAATAAGGTTTTTAAAATGCTTAAGAAGCTTCATTTAAAATTAAATTAAAATGCAGAGCCCCCCAGAGCGGTGGCCAGGACCCGGGCAGTGTGAGTGCCGCTGAAAATCAGCTTGCGTGCCGCCTTCGGCACACGTGCCATAGGTTGCCTACCCCTGGTCTAGATCATTAGCTTCACACCACCACCTATTGGTGAAGGAATTTGGGTTACTACATCAAATTCCATTAAAGGAACCTGCGAGATGAGACCAGGGTTGAACTGAGTTCTCGGGGAACTGAGTGGAAGAGGTCTCGAAGGCTATCCCAACAATCAGCCCCTTTTGTAACACTATATAAAGTATTACACCTCTATCTCCATATAACGCTGTCCCCAGGAGCCAAAAAAATCTTACCATGTTATAGGTGAAACCGCGTTATATCGAACTTGCTTTGATACACCGGAGTGCGCAGCCCCACCCCCCTCGGAGTGCTGCTTTACCGTGTTATATCCGAATTCGTGTTATATCCGGGTAGAAGTGTATCATGTTCTAGAAATTAATTGGGGCCCAATCCTATTGCTCTTGCTTATGTGAAAATCCTGCTGATTATAGTGGGACATTTCTGGTGAATAAGGGCCCAGTTATTGGACCTCTCTTCTGGAAGTCATTATAAAAAGCAAGTAATACAACCTTTGTTCAGCCATCAGATAATGGAACTTAATATCTGTTTAAGATCATGACTACCAATTAAAATATGTATGCTAAGAAAAAAAAAGAGTAGTCATCCCCAGTGAATTGTGCAGATCACTACTTCGAGGGAATGACTTTAACAAACAGATGCTAGAAATGACAATCATAGTTCTTTGTACATAGGGCTCTAAACACTGTTGGGGGGGGGGGAGATTATGGTATTCCGAGCATCTTTCTTTGCTGAAACAAATATTGTGGCATAAAAAAGAAAACATTTTAAATACCCTCAGGCAAGAGAGTATTGTAAGAGAAAGACCAATATAAAGAAATGTAGAGATGAGAGACTTGATGCTTCTTCCATGCCACTATAGAACAGGACTCCACTGAAGTCAATGGCCTACCAAAGGCCTTCCTGAGAAGCAGTAAAAGGCAGAGGCACCAACTGGACTTCAGTAAGCATGCTCAGGGGAAACCAACTATCATAGATGTGAGAAATAATAGGATTTTGGGACTGACAGCTAGTCTGCTGTTGATCAGATAAGGAAAGTCCTAAAGCAGTAAGAAAAAGTAAAATTAAAAGTTAAATACATTGACCCAGGATAAAGAAATAACTCTTCCTCTCTTTCCACAGCATCAGATGAGGCAGAATATTTTAAAGAAAAAAATTAACTTTCTGAGTAAGGTTTAGGCCCTGGGCTGGTGAACTGCAGATACTGCATAGATATAAATTAATCCAGGAAATGCTTTTGTTTAAAAAATGAGTTATGTGACTGTAGAAAGATAATATTTGTCCACAAGTTCAACATAAAGGCTTGTGAAAAGATGGGATGAGGGTAGATTGTTCCTCTCATAGGGCTGGTCCAAACAGATACAGACTCAAATGGTTCTACTAGCCAGTTAAGTTTTCTGATAAATAGCTCAGTTGAGTAAAAAAGCCAAATCCATAACATTCTGCTGTGTCAATGTCTGCATTTAATTTCTGTTGAACTCAGTCCTAAAGGGAAAGGGCATAACTTGCTGTCAGACTGGCTTCATGAAAACAGGTATTATATGGCAGCACAGCAATTTCTCAGTAAGTGTCTCAT